AAAAAAAAAAAAAAAAAAAAAAAAAGTAATGGTCTGATGAGTGAATCCCTCTTCCGCCTAGAGTGGACAACTGCCTCCTGGAATCATGTTCTCCTGCAACACCAGCACTTCTGGGCATGTTACCTTCCTCCTCACTGGCTTTCCAGGGCTGGAAGCCTCTCATCATTGGGTTTCCATCCCCATCAACCTCATCTGTGTGGTTTCACTTCTGGGTAACAGTATCATCCTCTTCCTGATCTGCACAGATCCAGCCTTACAGGAACCCATGTACATCTTCCTTTCCATGTTGGCAACCTCTGATCTGGGCCTCTGTGCCTCCACCTTCCCCACCATGGTGCAGCTCTTCTGGCTGGGTGCTCGTGAGCTGCCCTTTGATCTCTGTGCAGCACAAATGTTCTTCATCCACGCCTTCACCTATGTGGAATCTGGTGTACTGCTGGCCATGGCCTTTGATCGCTTTATTGCCATCTGGAACCCTCTGCACTATGCCACAATCCTTACCCACTCAGCCATGGCGAAAGTAGGAACTGCCATTCTGGTAAGGGCTGTCCTGCTCAACCTCCCAGGACCCGTCCTCCTGCGGCATCTACTCTTTCCCCAAATAAGCATACTCTCTCACTGCTACTGCCTGCACTGTGACATCGTGGGGCTGGCCTGCTCAGACACCCAGATCAACAGCGTGGTGGGCCTGGTCTCCATCCTCCTATCGCTGTGCCTGGACTCCTCTCTCATCATGCTCTCATATGCCCTGATCCTACGGACCGTGCTGGGCATTGCATCACCTGGGGAATGGCTCAAGGCGCTCAACACGTGTGTCTCACACCTCTGTATTGTTCTCATCTTTTATTTGCCCAAACTGGGGCTGTCTGTGTTGCACCGAGTAGAGAAGCACAGCTATCCTGCTCTGGCAGTCCTCATGGCCAACCTGCACTTCCTGGTCCCACCCTTTATGAACCCCATAGTGTACTGCATCAAGTCTAAGGAGATCCGCCAGGGCCTCCTAAAACGCTTCCACCAGAAGAGGGTTGATGTTTCCTAGAACAGTAGC